CGGTTATCGATATGTTCGTTACATCTCTACCTACAAATTGCCTTCCGTTCTTGGCGGAACGCAAAACTGTTTGCTCCATATTTGAATTGAATCGGTCGCGATTTCGCCACATCCCTTCTATACAGAATTACTCGATTGCGTTGCGACTAACCTATAATATAATCGAATGTTCGTTGATAAATCGATTACAAATCTCTTCTATTGTATGAAAATTCTCAGCGTTCTTGTAAATGCGAAGTTGTATTGTATTCGTTTTAATGCAGTTGCGACATAGGTAGTTAAACAATATTTGATAACGTATGTTGTAGTGCATAAAGGAATTCCTATGTCAATGAATAAGAATATCTCGTTCCGTGTAATAGAAATAGATATCTGGGAGTTATGTAAATATTACTGAACTGCATGTATTGCCTATTCATATTTCTTAGGTATAGGTTAATAACCTTAAAATATACGGCGTAGATAGGCAGTGAATTTTACATCCTATTGCTAAACAAATCGAAGCAAAGATGCTAATTATTTATTTAATAGAACCTAATGGGATGCACGTACGGAACGTAGGTACATCTTTATTAAAATACTAGCTGACCCGGCAAACTACATACCGCCTTAAATAATTTCTCACATTTTAAACCTTCCCTGAACTTCACGAACATTTCCAAACCAAAATTAGCCAAATCGGTTCAGCCGTTCTCGAGTTTTAGCGAGACTAACGAACGGAAATACATTTTTATTTACATATATATGTAGATTAATTGATATGAGATTGATGAATCGGTGTCTAATTGTATTTATTATATACACACATGTTCAAATCTTTGAGAGCGGAACAATTAGTTATCTACCAATAGCAATGTCAGAACAAAAAAGGAACTCACGCAACATACCAACATATGTACGACACTGATTCATCATGTCACATACATTACTTCGAAACGATTTTATTCCAACTTTCCTCTAGATTTATTTACAACTGACTGAAGTAAGACCAGATGTCTAGACATCCGCAAAATGTCCCAAGTTCGTTGACTCCAAATCCAAATTCGCAAGATTATGACCAAGTTCATGGACCCAGTGACATTTAGGGCGCTATTTTGGATGCGCGTACGCCGCCTGAGCTTTGTCGTATCTATCCTGATTTATGGATGGTTTACGACGAATGCAGTTATAAAACATGCACTTTGCGTTTTACTTCTTCTTTAAGAAGACAAAAATATCATTGCAGAATGCAATAAGGACAAATAGACTGAAAATATTTCACGAGCAAGCTTTGGACAAGCGTATTGGTACTTATACCTACATGTATTGTTCTTTAGGAAAGTCCTTGCAAAATATAATACAACAATCTCTTTCCCAGTCACCTTTCGCTAATAAATCCCACGTAATAGGGAGCATGGCTGTTGCAATATACTAGTAAATCTAGACTCCGTGTTACTACCTGAAGTTAAAAACGAGGAAGTATATACATAATGTAATCCAATAGAAATCCTTCGTACTAATATAATTAGTGCGAAAGTTTGTATCTTCGTTTAATACTTCTACACATCGAAACAGTTGAAGGGATGGATAGGGAGGGATAGGGATTAAATTTGGAACAGAACAAGGGTACATTATGATCTGAAATATCACATAGGCTACTTTTTATCCCACTGTAACGCTGGCGAAGCCGCTGGCAGAAGGTATTTTAAAATAAATTATTACTATCATAATTCTGAGTTCTGATACCCCGGCTTAATCCTCATTCTCATTTATCAGATTACAACGGACAACATCAATCATATCGTGTACTTGAAAATTGAAAGTCGACTTCTTAAGCATAGAAAACGGTAACAAATCCACCTCTATATGGTATTTTATTGCAAATTATAGATTAAATTGCCTCGCTGATTAGATACAGTAATTCATACTGATAAATTACGTACTATATCTGATCAGACGTCGTAATAGAGAGGTAGCTATGTTAGGTCTAGCATGGGTAATATTGTAGCTACAAATATAAGTGCAAACAACAAAAAAATGGAGTATAAACATATAGAGTAATTGATAAACAGAAGTATAATGAAGACAAGTGAGGTTCGTCAAAACGGCGATGACGTCACTGTTTATGTCGACCATTTTTTTGTCTGTTACTTAACAGTTACCCCTTCCTCCGACACTACTACATATTGCTAATAGAATAAGGTATATTTTTCTAAATTTTTTATTATATTTTAAGTCAATCCTATTCTCCTCCATTAACTCTATATTATCTAGTTAAGCCGGTATCACAGTTATGTCTTTAAATAGTCTCTGATGAAGGGTTTAGACCAAGATATCGCCAATTTCCGCTCCAAGATGACTATCAGCACTTACGACTGTTTCTCTTCCTCTGAAACCAGTTTTCTTTGATGATAGTTGTATAATAATTTAATTTATAGTTCCTTATGTATTAAGTTATATTTCTGGTTTTATTGTGCAATATCCTTTATTTGTGTCAACATTTATTTCTTGTTTAAGATCTGTTGCTTCTTTTAGTAGGTCGAAGATTTCTACTTTTAAACTGTCAAACACTGAGCGGTCATCGGTGACCGCAACCTATTGTTCTTTAATTGTGTCTATAATGACGGTACTCAATGAGTTAATTTATGTTATGTTTTAATAAGTCTTTTTTTCCTTTATTAATTATCAGTTTAAGTAACGAATCTGTACTATTTATACCTTCTTATTTGAAATAACAATTTCCATCTAGCTAACTGAAATGGGTAAACTCTTTTAAACACGGCATGGCCTTCGTCAATCAGCGATCGTTCTGTTTTATAAAATCGTTTGGATTCACACTACGTTAGTGAACTTTTGATTCACCAATAATTCTGTTATTCTCATTAATAAATAACAACAAAACCACACGTGTTCTTTCCTAAAGGGGAGGGGAAAATAGGTCAGTCGTTTTCCTACAGTGATTATACCCGTGGAAAAGACGGCCAACTTCGAACAACCAACTACGTATATTAGATTATGATGATATTCACCACGTATTTATTATTGCATAACTTCCTAATGACACTCGTATTAAGGTTCTATTTCAGTCAAAATACTGTAGTTGTTGTATACGTGAATAATTTCCCTGTAATTACGTACGATAGAATTGCATTGCAATTGGAACACGCGCTCTTAAGAGAGAAAGGTTTGTTCGATCTCGTCTTGTTTCTTATTTTATTATTGTGTTCGTGTTCAATGGTCACGTGCGTAAACAGTAAAGAGGTTTTTATTGAAAATATTGATGATTGAAATTGTGAAACGTTAACGTGGGTAGGTAGGGAAGTAAGTGCCTTCTTACTGTGATGGAAAGCGTATTACTTGGTACGAAGTTTCTTTTTTTATGTAAGAACTAGCTTTTACCCGTGGCTTCGCTCGCGTCACAAAAGAATAAAAAGTAGCTTATGTGACTATCCATCCGTTCAACTACCTTCAATTAAAAAATCACGTTAATTAGTACCTCCGTCCTGCCGTTTAAGACAGGCAAACAAACAAATAGCTTTCCACTCGAGTGGAATTCGGTTATATCGCGCTGTTTACATTTTTCCAATAAGTAGATAATTCGTTGACTTGTTTTAAATGACATACAACGCACTCTATTCCAGTACATACAGCGCCATCTATACCAATATTTTTGTTTTTCCTAGGAAATATCATTTTTTCAGGGATAAAAAGTACCCTATTATTTAATCCAGACTTCTAACATTACGTCTGCCAAATTTCAAAGCAATCGGTTTAGTAGTTACGGCGTGAAGGCGGAACAAACAAACAAACAAACTCACTTTCCGATTTATAATATAAGTAAGGATGTGTTCTTGCGTTTCTCATATTAGAAGTCAACATCGAAAGAAACCAGACCTTTTTTTTAATTCGTTTCTCAATGTGGAACATCACAATATGTTGAATATTGTATGACTACAACAGTCTTTAAAGTATACCTAGTATCGGTACCTACTCTAAATACATAAGACGTCCAAAACAAGCAACTGTGTTTACCTAAAATACGGGAAATATACCAAAAGAATGCTAGTAGCTTTCATAATATTTTTGTATCATAAATAAACAAGAGGAAAACGTTTGTCAAGAATTTCTGTTTTTAGTGGCAACACTATTATTTCAAACAGATGACAATATTTATTATTGTTGGGTTTTTAACGTTATGGAATTCAATTTCGGGGTTCAGACCTAATTTATTATACATACATAATTTATTTAGACGGCATTGTGTCTATCTACGCCTGGATCCTCAAAGTAGCACTACAAATTCTAATAAAATCTACAAAACAAAAGTGCATCACCTGGCATTCAACCAGTATTATTGCGATGCACATTAACCCACTAACAGATATACAAACACGGACGCACAACCCGACCCACTTGCGCGTGCGCATCCTATGCCCTTTACACGTAAACAACGTATATTTTTAATGGCACAAAACGAGTTTATTATCATTATTACGAAAATTTAAATAATATAAAAGTACTTAGAGTCTTTGTAACTCTTCAGGAGTTTAAAGAGTGGTGTTTATTTTAAAATACGTTATTACAACAACCTAATTCTCAATTTATGTTCTGATTGTACCTTTTTAGTTTCGTTTGATCTTTATTTTTATGGTTGGTAACATCAAGTGTCGTGTTATTCATACTCTTTGGCTTGTGCCTTGTATGTTGATTGGCCGATTGTCCCAGATTAACTCCTTTGCAGTTTGAATGATCCGTTTAGTACTGTATTCAATGTTCTGAAACGACTTATTTAAACCAAGTTCATGCACTGAATTTTAAAGTAGGCATACAATCAAAACATATCAAAACTCATAATAAAAACTGTCTTTTACAGTTACAAATGGAACGCTAATATGTAGTTAATTTCTATCAATGCGGTGACTTAATTTGTGCAAAAATATTACATTACTTATAGGGTTTAAATATCTCAGGAAATACTAAAAAATATAAATCCAAAACTAACAATATTCTTTCTTCTACAGCTGTATCTGCAAGATGGTCAGCTCTCCGTGCAGCGGCCACCAGACGTGGTGGTGCTCGTCGCCTGCGCAGGGAAATGGCCGCACTGCGGGAGACACTCGACGATATCTGCGAACCTGGGGACTGTGCTCCACAACCTCACACCAGGGCTCAGCTACATAGAAGAATTGAGGAACTGAAGGTAGATATATTAGTAGGAAAGTCGAAAAATTGGACAGTTCTTAACATTTCAAAGACCACGTTAAGCCATCATTTATCCAGGTCTTGGTGTCGTAAAATTATCTATGACGCTCACTACTGATAGGTCCAAAAATCTGATAAAGGTAATCACCCTTTGAGGGTCATCTACTCTATTTAGAATCTACCAAATGACCCCAAGCTAATTGGTAAAATACCATAACAGCAAAGGACTTATTGGTTTTGGAGTTTCTATTTCTAAAGAATTTGATTAAGTTAACAATTGGATTATGTCTACTTAACATACTACGTTGGGCTTAGTTTAACAATTTATGGTTTTACGCAAACGCAATCATGTGGAAACGTTAATCCTGCCTAACAAAATACGCATTCATCTATAAGTATTCACTTTTCTTTATTTTAATTTCCTTGATATGCGTGGTATTTAAGCCTTTCTATCGAATTTACTATCCTATTTGTAAAACTAAATAAGTACTCCATTTCTTGATTAGCTACTGCCTAATAGCTTAGTAACGAGGTTTAGGTGAAATAATTATGTAATCTATTTCGGTTAATTGAACACGTTCCACATTATGGGGAATAGTACTTTAGATAATGATAGAACATTAAAGAACTAATGAAATTGATATAATTTTATTACAAATTATTAGTAATTTTGCGTACAATTTATTCTTTGATCATTAAAATGACATAATTTCGTCTTAGGCAACACCGTCATATTTACATACCTACAGTTCATACAGGTATATAATTCAATAAAATTCATATAGTCAGATCCGAAACTGAAATTAGAACATGAGCAATCTAGAAAACGAATGCCATCTCACCATGTCTTATTAGCTCTTTAAGTTCCAATGTAATATTCTTCTTTCCAGGAACGTCTATCTCGTCTGCTAGAATGCAAGGTGTCGATGCTGAAGCTGACTGTGTCAGTGCGTCGTGCACTCGGTGACATGGAGAACGATGACGGAGGACTGGCTGCTGACCTGGCATCACTGCTTTCTGCATGGGATGATGCTCATCAACGGTAAGTTGACAATGGCTAGTCGAGTTCAATATTTTAAGAAAATCACCACTCACAACAAATAAAGCGTCCAAATTGATAACTGTGGTTTTATTTGAATCTGATTCCGTTAAAGTTCTCAGGTTGAACACTAAATAAATTGTAAAATTTCAATAAATCGTTATTAAAGAATAACATTCAGCATCGAAAAACTCACTACTGAACCGAAAGTCTTATTTAGCTATTCTTTTAAAGAAGAATTAGGTAGATATTATAAGTTCCAAACCGTGACATTATACAATTCTCAAATATTTGCTATAGTGATTACTAGCTGATTCATTACTGTCGCCAAAAACGACCACACCTGGGTTGCAGATAAACAAAAGCTGTAAACTAGTGGAGCGTGAAGCAATACCTATGTCTGGAATGAATAATTTAAAGTCGCATCATTAGTCACTAAGTACAATGACATCCAAGTCTGGCAATTTCTGCGGGCGATTCATTGAACCCCAAAAATTATGCGGTTCAAATAGGATTTAGCGTGAAGAATTTTTTGTTAGAAATGTCTCCGGAATCTACTAATAGAGTCATCTTTTATTACATTCCTAAGACACTGATCTCTTTCCAGGACTTCAAACGAACTCTTATCTCTGGAAAAAGCGGTTTGCGCTTGGGCGGAATGGGAAAGTGCTCTCCGAGAACTCCAGGGTGCTCTAAGAGGAGACCTGGCGACATTGGAATCCCTAAGGGACCGTGGCGCTGTAACTGGGGACCAAACCGAAGTTGCCGCTCAAATAAGGCAATTGGCTGCGTCACTTGTGGATAAAAAGAAGGTAAAGAGAACTGATAGTGGTTTTGAAATTAACTATAAGGTTTTTTTTATGCGGGGAAAATCATCGAATGACTGCTCCCGCCTGGGTGAGGCGGGAGGGAGTGACAGACTCTTACTGAGTAAAAACCACCCCGTTCCTTCTCCTGTACGTCGAGCCGGAACCCCGGTAACCCGTTAGGTTCTCCGCGACAGCTATAAGGCATACAGTCTTCTTTATAAAATCGTACATGCCTATTTGATATAAACTATTTGGCTTCGGTTAACGTGACATAAAATCATGAACATAATATTATCTTCTAGGGTGGTTCAACATGCGACTCCTTGTCCGACTCCGGTATATCGGACGGAGACAGCGACGGTGCTGGACGACGTGCCAGACGGCTGAGCGCATTGCGGGAACTAGCCAGACGGCTGCAAGCTGCTCTGGCACCTAATTCGCCAGCTCAGAGAGCTATAGCAAAGGTAAATATGAATTTGAAAAGGCCTAAAAAATATATATTTAGTCAAATTGAGATATCTAAAAGAATACATTTTTAAACCTACTTTATGTAACTGGAGATTAAGTTGAGAATTGCTTAAACACTGCGGAAATTATACCTATATTAACTTCACCCTATTTGTTTCAGCGTATGGAACAAACTGAGAATGAAGTGCGCACGTTGCAAGAATCGTGCCGTGCGCTAGTAGAACTCAGCATTCCGGATCTTAAGATTGAGGAGGAAAGGTAAATTGAATAAATTTAAATACTTTATGAAGAAGAATACCTATCTAAGTATAATTTTGATCTCCTTATTATCTTCTGTAAACTTTTACTATATGTACCTATTGTTTTCTTTAGCAGGGACAAAACGATTGCGGCCGTGACAAGCAGCAAAACTGGTTCAGGCGACCCTGACTACAGTCCCCGTGGAGGTTGGGTGTGGAGAGTCCTTCGGTCCTCGTTGCCCATACAGTTGTGCCTCGTGGCCCTGCTCCTAGCCGCCTGGCTGGTCGAACGCCCACGATGCTGCGACGCCCTGAACTCTCTAGCTCAGACCCTGACTCCTCAACTCCGCTACGTACGCGGCCCACCACCAGTCTGAACACTCACACAAAACGTGTTCACACACATGCGATGATTTCTAGCTAGTATTAGCTTAAACCTTCGGGTTGCAGTACTTGCAGTATTCAGCACACTATTTGTGCTACTAATGCCAATTGAAGTATTCAAGGCTTCGGTACTAAGACGTTTATTGACGGTAGATAAACTAATTATCGGAATGACGGTAGCGTGGATTGCGTGAAGCAATAATTTTTATTATTATACTAACTTTTTTGACGATTAGGTAGAAAAGATTTGAAATGAATTGAGGCGTTGATTGACGTTGTTACTAACATAGAAATGTACGTACAAATGGAGAAATTTGAAAAAAAAATCATGACGTACTGATGATGTGTAGAGGTAACCAATTTATTATTACGTTTTTTAACAACATTTTCAAGAAGAAACTACTTAGATGTGTCTATTGGAATGACTAACCTTTGTAAGGCAGAAGTTAATTTAGGTCCGTTCGCAATATTAGACATTTTTAATTGCTCATAGCAAAAAAAAGTTCAAATAGAAAAAAAGGTGTTCCAAAAAAAATGTAATCATCTGTATCAGATGAAGTTCAAAATAGTTAGTCTATATTTTAGTATAATGTACTAACATTGACAAACGTTTCTTAAGTTTGTACGTAGAGTAGAAGCATGCCTATTTTAGTACAATTATTTGATAGGTTACTTAAAATAGGTGAGAATGCGCTGTGTGACAGATATTCTACAAAATACCTACCTAACTAATATATTTATAAAAAAAAACATCAGCAACTTTTTCGTAATGTTATTGACAAATCAGTTCAGTTTTGGTGAGTTATTCTGGATTATATCTTGATAATATTATGATATACCCTGTGTATATTTAATATTTTATAATCAAAGCTTACTAAATTAGTGGGCCCACAGAGCAACTCCACTAGAACGTTTTTTACCTTTGACTGGTACCTAATCATTTTTAATTCATATCAAAATATTTCGAAAAAATTGCTGAAAAATATTTAGACAACGATTTACTTCTACTTCGGAAAACTATCAGCTCTCGTTTTATAAGTTACAGAGTGGCCTTACCTGAAGAATATTTATAAAGACTGATATAAAACTAGTGCATCAATTTAATCAACATTTGATTCAATACATATCCATATTATTTACTATATTATGTCATTTATCTTAATAATAGAACATGTAGATATCATTATAACGAAAAATTTTACGCGGCAAAAGTGTATCAATTTGATTAGATACAAACTTTTCATTCTCTCTCCATAGACTAAAATGAATAACGCGCTAAAAACACAGATTATAATCAACGGCAGTCTCGACATTGTTATCGACAAAAATCTACCGATTAGTCGTAACGATGTCACATTTCTCGAATAGATTTTAAACCTTCGATTTTTTTAATAAAGCTGCAGGCCCCGTTATGCTATCACAATAATTATAACAATTGCCGCTTGTTCTTTCTCTTCTAAAACTCAAATTAGTTAATTTGATAAATTCCCATACTATTGCCAAGTAATAATAATATCTAATCAGAATGTTTGTAAAATGATTTCCATGTTTTTTGTTCTTTTAATGCAAATTATTCTCATGAAATTATGTAATTACCTTTTCCAAATATATCATTTTAAATACCATTGAATTAATAATTATGTGCCTGATTTAATAAAATTAGAATTTATTATATTCATTGTTATTGACTTTTTATTTTATGATATTTAGTTTTAAATATGTTTAATTATTTATTGTATTGTCAATTATTTGTTGAATTATTTTTAATTACCTAAGTATTACATGTCAATTATTTCTCTCTTTTAGCCATGAACTTAATGACATTTTAATAATACTTAGATTTAAACTTAATGTATATGTATGTGTATCGTTTATAATATTTATTTACAACTTAATATATTATTATTAAGTAATATATGCCTTTCAAAATCTAGAAAGACTGGCTTCAGTCTAAAGTACTGTCATTATTACTAATGATGTATGATTACTAAATATTTAGAATCCAACGTCGTAAATAAAAAAATAACACGCCGAGAAGCAGTTTTTATCTGTGTTCAATTGTTCATTTTTGGACGATGGGTCAAAAATACACCACGCTTACATGGTATATTATTATCACAGGTACGTGGTCAAAAAAATGCCATAATTTTAAGCGTGGTATATATTTGACCAATCGTAAGATACTTAACCGACCTATGACTTTGTATAACGCTTACATGATAATGGAACGAGTGTTACAATTCGTTTACATTAAAATAAAATATAACTATTATCAATAGTCTCTCTAATAGACAAGATACATTACATCACTTTGCTCAAACTACTTACCTTCTGTGTTTTTAAACAAAAGTCTTGAATTCGATCTGAAAACTAGAAAAATATATTATATATTATACTTGATTATGAAAAGTTATTTCGTAATTGAAAATGTTATATTTCCACCATGCTTGTTGTAGCGTATCTATTGGTGTAAAATTTTAATTTGCTTTCAATGTGTGAGTTGTCCAAGATGGACAAAAATGTAAAATGCCTTAGTGCGACTGTCTTGTGTGGCGCATTCTTATAACGAATGTATAATTAGTTTGTAATTAAGTACACTCTCCCTGTGGTTTGCGTAACAAAAGTATTTCGTGTTTTTTTTTACCCTACCAAAGTAGGCTTTCAAAATTTTATTTCATTGTAAAAAAAACCACAGCGAAAGTACTTCAAACATTCTATAATTTTCCTATAAGGCAGTCAATGCCCATAGTAGTGTGTCATATTTCTTTTAATTTTTATATTTTAGTCTTTAACTAGATAATTGGAAGAAAATAGACATGCTATGGAAATGCATTTAATTTTTTCTTTCCTTTGAAGGATTTGAGAACGTATAATTAATCGATTGCATTACGGTATGTTGGCTTTTGGAATGGAAATAAAAATTTGAATTTTATTAAATTGTTTTATTTATATTTATCCTAATACATTCTCTTTAGTACCTTTAATCCAATTCCGATCGATCGTCATTTACATTGAGAAATTTCGTACTCTTGAGTTGCAATACTAACGCCCATTGCATCAGTATTGCGTGGTAATTTCATGAACTAAATAGTAGGTTGAGTTTGACTATAAATTCCGTATTCTGAATGCTACTTTAACAGCTACGATAGGTTGTATGATTTTGACATTGGATAATTATTGAGATTTTATTAGATTGAAATTTCATTGACATTGAGAATGGTTTCAAGAGTAAGCACCTAGGTCAGTAAGCAATGTATTATTATCTTGGTACATTCATCTTACCAATAAGTATAATAGGATAGATACAAAAGTTTGTGTGTATGTTTGTTTCTCAGCCACGCCAAAAGTGTTAAAAGTATAGAGATGACGTTTGAAATAGGGATAGTGGTCTGGAATAACACATAGGTTACCTACTTTTTAATCCCACGGGAATGGGAATTATAAAAGTCTGGCGGTTGCCCGCGACGTCGTCCGCATAGAATATGATTCTTGTTTTATCCCTTCGGAGCATTCAATCGGGATAAAAAATCCTATCACCTAAGTCAGCCCATACCCTGCCTGTATACCAAATTTCATGAATATCCGTTCGTTCAGTAGTTTCAGCGTGATTGGCAGATAAACAAAGAAACTTTCATATTTATAATATTAATGTGATCGTTATGGACAAATAATATCTTTGTAGAGATTAAAAGCCATGGTCCCAGCGTCGCACTCGCATGTTCTTGTTGTTGTCTTGATTTGAAACCACAAGACTATCGAACAGACATTTTCTTAATAATAATATATTTGCGTGAACTCATTATAAATATTTTTCCATTTTCATACAAAATAAAATAAAAAAAAAACAATATCTGTGTTATTGATCAAATGTTGACAACTGGCAACACATTTACTTCCGAACCAAATAGTGATAGGCATTTAGCTGGCTAGCTGCATTCGATTAAATCGGATATAACTGCCGTCATAATTTATCGATCACTCGGTCAAAATTTAATGTAATATATTAATATACCAATGAAACGATTTGAATAATAATTTATTCAAATCGTTTACATTATAAAGGGCCGAGACATCAACTCTGGACAGGACATAACGATTATCTTTTTCTTTTCTTTTAAGTATACTAATTTGTACACGACTACATATTCAGTATGAAAATACCAATTTATCAAGGTGCCTTTCATAGGTCAGTTAACAGTTATACTCATGTTACAAAGTTTTACGGGCACGTACCCTTATAATAATACAAATTAACATATGCATTTCTTTCTATTTCAAGTAATTATGATTAACAATGGAAATCGATAACTGTTTAATTTAAAAGTAACAATTATTTACTATGTGGTAGTCATATAAATGTCTAATTAATTATATAATAAGTTATTTCTCACTAGCGATTAAATTACATATATTTAAGTAATGAATCAATTCTCTAAACGAAGATGATTAGATGTCGTTAAGCCTTCGCTGCGGTGAGACGAGCGAGACGAAGCGACAGCGACGCGTCGCTCCGTCTCGCTCCGTCTCGATCGTCGTACTCGATGTTACAAATCCGACTCGAGACTTCCTTCATTCGCATTTCACATCACTTGCAGTGACGACGTGCGACGAGCTAAACAGCGACGAGGAGGCCTTTTCCGGTGTTCGTATTGTTAGTGGTGCACGTGTCTAAGTGTAACAAAATTGAATTGAAAGGTAATTATTATTGAATGGATAATTCCTTGTGTTTAAAGTAAATCAACCATACAAATTCTTTAATTTGCTGAGTGCTACATACTAGGAAGTAAGGTAAATATCATCGTAATTTTTACTTTATATTTTGCCCGGGTCAAGCCGCCATATTGATTAGTTTTGCAAGACGCGGGCTGTTGTAGCTCTTGACTTGGTGCTATAATATATTTTGTGTCCTATCAGTGTGTTTATTGCTGAATTTTAACTAAACAGTCGTAATTTCGGTAACTATGTGTAAATTTGATACTATTTTGGTGATTACTATGTTAAAATCATCGATGTTTTTATTTGATGCGTACCTACTCCAATCTATAGGTCCACGTATAATCGTTAAAATCGATAAAAATCACGTCTTTAAATTGTTATTTGAAGATGTATGTATGGGTTATATATTTTATATTTAAATCGGTATAATAGTACAATTGCAATATTCTGTACATTATAAATTTAACCAATCTGTAAATCCCACGCGGGAAAATGTAAAATCACCACGCGCATGGCGCGTTCGTTTGCCAAACTACCTATATTCGCGTTGATGGCTGTCTACATTTAGATTTAGCACAAAAGTAGTTTATTGTTTATTGCATAACCTATAAAAATACTATAAATTCACACGTACAATATAAATACTTGGTTTACAGAAAATATGGTTGGGTCACGTGTATATGTCGGCGGTCTACCGTTCGGCGTCCGAGACAGGGACTTGGAGAAGTTTTTCAAAGGTTTCGGCAGGATAAGGGATATCCTCATCAAGAACGGCTATGGATTTGTGGTAAGTTCAAAATTCTTATTTACGTTTTCATGAATGTTAAGTTACTAATGAGTATTAATTCATATATTGTGCTCGACAACTCGCATTAAATTTCTAGAACAGTCGTCTATAATATAGTAAAAGTTTGTTTTGTAAATAATGTCAACAAACTTGTCTGAAATAATTAGCGTGAAAGTTGGAAATTAGGTTTATTTTCCTGTTATGGACATTTAATTTACAATATGTGTATGAAATTAACTATAAACAGCATATAACAGTTTCTAACAGCTGTACTTGGATAGATTCCTTTGAGACACAAATAGCTACCTATATAATTATACATTTCACTATCAACATTTTTGTCTGTATCCCATAAGTTTGGTGAGAGTCAAATAAGAGCAAACATATTTAATGAAGACTGAGCAGTTGGACTCTGGTAAACCTGAACCAATCAGTTATTTCTAACCTAAAATGTTATTTAAAGGAGGTCCATAATATTTTTTTACTAACACAAAATTACTATTTTACATTAATACCATAAAATACCACAAAATACAGTGGAACCTAATACAGTGACTAGTGTAATGATAATTTTTTAAACTTAGAATTGCAGTGTTCAGTACACTATAAATATAACCAGTCCATAAATCCAAAAAAAAAAACTTTGTAAAATCACCATATAATAAAGTTATTAATTTAATTTTGTATTTTACAGGAATTTGAGGATTATCGTGATGCAGATGATGCAGTTTATGAACTTAACGGAAAAGAACTACTAGGAGAAAGGTATGAACTTTATAACAATACATGTAGTGTAACATTGATTCTTTCTTTTATAAAAGAGTATGAGTTTAGCTACCTATTTGAAATATGGACATGTTGAGAGCCTTTGGTATAAAAATAGTTTAGAAATTATGATTTATTACCACTTCTAGTAGTTGTTGAAATGTTCCTTATTATATTTTAATCTTCCTGACAAATCCCCATAAAAGTATTTGCTATCTATAAACAGTCATAAGTAGAATATAGTTTAAATTCTTTTAATTTGTGTTATTTTCAATTTAATAATTGATTTCCTTTATCAGCCGGCTCCACATATTTGTGTGTGTATGGAGAACGGATATTTATGATCAAGGATGAAAGTAAGAGATTTGTATGAAATCAATGACTGCATTCATTCATATTTAATTATTCTTTTTTAATTTATTTCTATTGACTGATAACATCTTTTATTCAAAATTTCCAAATTGAGGATTATGTTGTATAATGAAAGTTGATGTATACTGGTGGGCTGCCTTTACTCCATTGTAAAAGTCTGCTTACCAACTGGTATGTATCACATGCTAATAAGGTCATTTGTTAAAGTTTTATTATTCTAAATTATTTTTATTATTAAGTGTCATTAACATTGCCAAACTAAAATACAGTTTTTTAATTGGTAAACTTCTATTTTCAGGTCAATTTATTTTCAATTTAATGATGTAATGTATTTCTAAATTGTTGCATTGACTTTTGTCAATTTTGAAATTTGTTTTGACTTGGGTTCGAGTCCCTTGTATGAGTTGGCTACCAATTGGTAAGCTGTTAAGTGTAAGATGGTGTGCACGGTATGAGTGCAAGGTTGGGGTGGGCAGTGCTAACAGTAGACCGTGGGTGTGCCGCAGGGTGGTGGTGGAGCCGGCCAGGGGCATCGACCGCAGCGCCGACCGTTACCGGCGCGACCGCTACTACGAGCGCGACCGCGGCCGGTCGCGATACGAGTAAGTGTCGCTATGTTGTAGGGTGTCGGTGGAGAGGGCTCGCGGCATGCCGCGGGGCTCGGACCGCTGGCGCTGCCGGGATCTGCCGCCGCCGCCGCCGCGACGCCCGCCGCCGAGACGTGAACCGTCTGTATTGCGAACACGGGCATGATATGCAACAACACATGGGCGTAGCCAGGCTTTCTTTCCCAAACACTTTAGCAACATATCACTCCTACCCAGGACGTAGGATGTGAAAGAAAGGTAAAGCCTGTAATAGTCACTCTGGTGAAATGGGTTGGTGGTTGACAGAATGTTCCTGAGAGCTAACCCTAGCTGCGCCCATGAAACGTTTTCCCTCTCGCATTCTTATGTCCTCTTGGACTCTACCCAAAGTATTTTAAGGGATTGTATTGTTGCTTGCACAATATGAAATTGTCGATCCTACAAAATTTTCACAAACTCTTTCCAGATATTTATTAACCTTAAATTCTTTAGAAACAATTTCCTAAATCTGCTATTCTTGCTAACAAATATGTCTGCATGCTCAGGCATTTATCTACTTGAAATTCTTTGCTTCATGGCCCATTCCGAGCATTGTTTTGATATCCCATCATTCTTTGCATTTTGTTTTTTCCAAACAATCGTTTTGTGATTATTTTGTTTTTGCATAACAGCCCAGTGGTTCTTAGTTAAGTTTTTGTTCATTTTTGTTGCTTTATTTATTACAGTTTTCATAAGTAGGTACACTACACTACACTGCAATTTCAACACGGCATAGCTATTTTCGCTAAATATTATAGCAAGTAATTTAGTAACTGCTATAGAAGTAGATGAAGATATTCCACCCCCCATATTACTAGTGTTGCAAAATGTCCCAGAGTGAATAATTATCTAGTTACATTTTGTTCCTTTTGTCAGTTATGTGATCAGTCTTAAACACAACAAACCTCATGTTATTGACATACCTAAAGTCTAAAAACTAGAAGTCCCGATTTTGTCCCTTAAATCCAACAAAGTATAATTCACACACATTGTCTAGTGTTCGTTATGTTGTTCATTTTAATAATATTAGCCTTATAACTTGTCATTACAGCCCATTTCTGTAAGTACAGTAGAATAGTCTTATCTCATTTGATACCATTTAAAAGTAGTTACAGATAACATTTGTTCATCTGATAATTTTATCAGTTTGATATGGAAGTATTGCATATGCAAGTAATTGCTTATTACTTCTATGTTTTCACGTAAAATAACCTTCTTGGTATTAAATTAAGATATCTTTCATATAAAGATATAAGAATGGTGTCATTTGGAAATCATTATCTCGAATACAAGACAAAAGTTAATTTTAAACTCAATTAAAATTTCACATAGTTAATCCCCACTTAAAAGTAAATATTTAGTTTCTCGTAACACATTGACTAAATATGGAAATAATATTGAGTTTTCTGTTTACAGTGACTACAGTTACAGATACGGCCCGCCGACGCGCACCGAGTATCGACTAGTCGTCGAGAATTTGTCTAGCCGCATTAGCTGGCAGGTAAGAAATCGAGCCGGGACACCATTGGGCCCATCATCATTCCATCACCTATCACCCAGGGTCCTGGACATCTTCACTATTACTTGAGGGCTGGGCGGCCTGCATCACCTGGACAGACGTACCTTTAGTCGCGAACGGGAGGAAACTGATCGTCACAGGGCACTCACTGCATGGAAAGGACAAACCAATGCTGCTCACTGAGGACTTGGAGGATAATCCAATGCAAACCAGAGAAAAACGCATAGATGAAGAATAGAGATGACACTTTAAAGAAACGAGTTAGCGTTATATTCGGACTGAATACTGCCTGGACTGACGACGAGACGAACGTTACCCAATCAAACACCGGCTAAGGATACGGACCTATCGTCGGACCACCTTCACTGCCTCGAGAACTCCACACCACCCTATTTGCTTTATACTAATATAAAACATAAAAAATACAAAATAATTTACCTAATAGTAACCATCATAACTTTAGCTTAACACAACATACTTTGAAACTCTCAAACTTAGCACTGTGCATAACATTCATTACCCTAAAAACAGTATTTTTTTATACAAGTGTTGTACCAAACTTACTTACGAGCTTTATAGATAATTTTTAAAAACAACAGAAGGTGGCGTATCGTGGCCAGGGTCCTCGATGTAGCGCTGTGTGCGATGTGGTCTGAGGCGATGTTAGGATCGGTCACGGCGCGCTGGTGATGTGATGACGCCCCCCAACCCCGCCCGCCCCTCCAGCCGGACGAGCCCCCGGTGGCCCCCGACAAGGTAAAGTCGATAGGGGGGCACAGACAACAGGAGCCGTTTCTCGTTATGTGCAATCTCCCATTTAAATTCATTATTTCATTGTTAACTTTAAGTTTTTAGCATCTTCTGTTCGCAATAGTGAAGTACTATGCAATAGTGTCCTCACTATCGTGGACTGCCATGCAGATCATATCGTTCGTATGTCAACTTTATTTCTTTTGCGGCTTTAACAGCTTTTCGTATACGACAATTCATACGGTATCATTGTTTACGTGGATCATCAAGGGTTGGGGACCGGAGATAAAGAAAGCAGCACTGAAAGACGAGACAGGAATTGCTTGGACGTGAAGCAGATACCGATGTGGGTTTCCTAGAGGATAATGGAAATGCGAAGTCCTGATGACCTGTTGCAGACTGTAAATCAAAGAGTGATGGCAAAATACACAGCTGGAAGCTAGAGAAAGAGAGAGAGCAGGAATAGATGCAACTCAATGATGTCAAACTTTTCAACTTGGTCGCGACAATACATGTCTTAAGAAGGATTCATAAACAAAAGTGTCAAATAGAAAGACAGACCTGGAGAAATGCGGTAGAAATACCAAATCATATAGATAATAGCTTGAGAATCAAGATGGTAAAGAGTACAGACTGGACAAACAAGCCATTGGAGTAGTCACTGGTGACAGGAGGTCGATGGAGGGCGAGGACAACTACACGTACCGTAAACAATGATAACTGTTGAGAAACGCGTACGAAAACACTGTTACAAGCATATCTATCGTTTCATCTTTTTATTTCGTTAGGAGATTTGCTCGCAAAGTTGTGTAACCGACATAGTATATTGAGGATAGGTCCAGTCACATAAAACAAACAAAAACTTTTGCAAAAGTCATGATGAGATCGTATTTTTACCATCTTTCGGGGCTGAAAACCTTGATGATAGTTTCTAATTCTGATGATTACTTTTGCAAAAGTTGCTTTAAAAACTGTCTTAGGTGCTTTGTTAACATGCTTCATTGTTTTACAGGACTTGAAGGATTACATGCGTCAAGCTGGTGAAGTCACTTACGCTGACGCTCATAAGCAGCATAGAAACGAAGGGTAAGTGACCTTTAACTTTAAAACCATTAACAATACGAAAAATATTACAATTTCATGATGATACTATACCATTTACCATCTTTCGGGGCTGATAGCTCTTGATGATAGAATTCTAACTGAGGATGTCTATATTTTCTAACATAAATCTTTAAGTCTCGACATATTTACTAAATTATATTATTTATTACAGTGTGGTAGAGTTTGCCACCCACTCTGATATGCGCGCGGCTATTGAGAAGCTGGATGGAACGGAACTGAACGGACGACGAATCCGTCTGATTGAGGCTAGACGTGGCTCTCGTCGTCGCACTCGCTCCTCGTCAAGTCGCAGCCGATCCCGCTCCCGAGACCGCAGACGCAGCCGATCCAGGTAAATATAATACTAATACAATTTGTTGTCTATTTGACTGAGAGCAAAGTACATAATAGAAAAAAGTTTAATAATAATTATACCGTTTATTGAACAGCAAAATCAATACGTTTAGTATAAAACATGAGTAAGAAACATTTTTTCTTTAGCATACATACACTAATTATTTAAGTTAAAACAAAATTTTAATGATGATACTATATTATTTACCATCTTTCGGGGCTGAAAGCTCTTGCTGATAAACTTCTAACTGAGGAAACATTAAACACATTGCGTTTTACATAAGCATTGAATGTGTATAATAAAAATTGTTGTACATTTTCCAGGTCTCGCTCCCGTCGCTCCTCCCGTAGCCGCTCTCGCTCCAAATCTAGGCCAAAGAGCAAGAGCCCAGTCGTCAAGTCCCGCAGCAGATCCCGATCCAAGTGAGTATCAACCAGAATTCCCCCATCTCGCCCCTGCTATGTAAATAATTTGATACTTCATATTAGCTTTATAGAAAAAATTGCGGTTATCCAAGCTAGTTCATTATCATTTAGAAATCAAATCCTTACTGTAGATATATGATTTGCTATCATTCACATTTAGATGCGTAACCATTTTAAAAATAGAGTTTTGTTATTTTCAGCTATAAGTTTAAAATGAACTTGTAACCAAGAGTCCAAATATTTTGCATAGCAGGGCTTCTTATTGACAAAATCATGTAAAAATAGGAAATTGAGGCCATAAGCCATACTTAAATATATCCAAACGAAAGAATAATATTTAGTACCAAAACATGCTATAGTTCTAAGCAATTACGAGTTGGTAAACGACTGCGACCTCTTACTACACACGAAAGACGTGTCAATGTCGGATTTGTTGATATTATGCACTAATACTCTGCTAACTGACTTTCTCAACTGACTCCATTCCCCTTAAATTCTAATTCTTATAAATTAAAGCTTGCATGTAAGCATCTCTTGTCTCTTCCCTCAAATGTCAGCAGTAAATACAACCAATAAAATCAAAATATATGCATGAATATGTATACAAATTAACCTAGTATTCATTTGGCTAGGTGTGTTATAACTTGCGCTGAGCAAAATTTAAAACTGTAAGTACTTAGCCAATAGTACTTTACTTTTGTAGATAGCAATAATTTTATAATACTAATGTGACGCAACGACTTGTGTACTTGCCTCACATTAAACTGTGTGTCGGTGAAGGAGTTGGGTCTGTCATTATTCTAAAAAAATATTCTCATAACTCTGAAGTAAGTGCATGATGACAGGTTCAACTCTAGAGTCACTTGTCTAGTAGTGGACGTAACTAAACCCAGCTATTACTACCATTTCTGGCGTTCGTTTTCGGCGTCGATTAGGGATCGCAGTCGTTCGAAGTCGCGGTCTCGCTCGGCGTCCCGTAGATCTGACCGTCGGTCGGCCTCCCGTAGGTCTGACCGTCGCTCGGCGTCTCCACGGCCCTCGGCAGAGAGGAACGGCGGGAAGTCTGCCTCCAGGTCTAAGTCCCGATCACCGAAAGCTGCCTCCAAGTAAGTCCATTCAATGTGTGCTCTCAATCAAGTCTGACGGTTGTGCAAATTCTGTGAGGTTATTTTTCTCTGTCAACGTGTTTGAATACTTGGTGTAACAGGTTTCAATATCATTTATTTACATGTTGAAATGTGTACAGAACACGTTGACATGCTGTGCTGTTAATTTTAAATTTTACATTGAAACTTTAGACATTTATATTGTGTAAGAAATATAATCTCACACAAACCACAAAGAGCATTATTGTCAGATTAGTCAGTCAGTCCACTACCTGAACCCATTGGCATTCACATATTAACAAAATTCATCCAATGTTATTAATATTGATTGCACATTACAAATACATTATTAACTCGATCCATGTTTTCCCGCATCACGAAGAGAAGCCGTTCCAAGGTGAGCATTTGATGTTGGGTAACAATGAGCTAGTTGCTGTTAATCATGTAGTTACACCTTTCGTTTTCTCATGGCTTCTGGTTTGGATCCCACCCATCTTTTTGGTTTAAAAATTAATTAGCAATTAACTAATACAACTATCAAGTAATTAGCATCATCCTCACCACCTATTAATTAAATACACTACTGTTTAATTTCTGTAAATAATGTTACTAACAGCTTATCTTTTTTTTACTTTCATTTAATGCACAGACATCAAAATCTCCTGAGATATGTAAATAATAATCAAACAAAGAGACCTGTGAGCATACTGTAATAATATTTTATATCTACAGGGAAAGGTCTCGCTCTCGCAGCAAGGAGGCGTCGCCGAAGCGTGAGGAAGAACGTCGTCCGAGCAAGTCTCAATCTCGCTCCCGATCCCGCTCTCGGTCCAGGTCCCGCGACCGCTCAGCTTCTCGTGATCACTCCGCCTCTCGATCGCGCTCTGGATCGCCGCGACAGAATGGCGACGCGCAAGACCGCGCGAGTACAGATAGGTCGCCGCGTAGTGGTGACTAGAGCGACCCTAGTTGTAAGCTTCATAGATTTATTTGTCTATAGTTTTAACAAGTTCGTGACCTCAACTATAGTAACAATATTGTTCTTTCTGATTCTTAGCATCCATATCAATATTGAAAGTAAACTAGTTTTCACTACTTTTAGTAGCACTTTATATAGTTAGGATACTTTTCAGGTGTTAATCCGAAAGCTTCATGTTGAAGTTTGGATGTAACACCCAATCTGTTATATCTCCAAACATTTTTAATAATAGAATACTTAGAAATTGTTGTATAAGTATGCAATTAATTTGGTATCATAAATCTGATCTCCATCAGCATAAAGTACAATGTCTCACTATAACATTCTTACACTATCTCTAGCATTATGCTAATGCTTTGTTGAAGTCACGATGGTTGAATATAAGATTCTTATATTGTGCACCGTGTTTGATATTTTTTGTCTCACACGAGTGATAGATGTCTTTGTCTATATATAGGTTATTTAGGGTCGCTTTATGGGCTAGTGGGCAAATAGATACTTATTTATGTAAGTAAACAATTTTACTGAATTCTTGACTGTAATAATTTAATTTTGTTAATTGTGTTAAAAATGATGTATAATTTTTATTTTCTGTAAGTCATTTGATGCATTTTTATCTGAAAAGATAGTGGTGTCAGTATTTGCCCATACTTTAAGTGAAAGTAAGAAAGTTTGACGAAATTTTCTAATTACCTATTTTTTTGGTAAAAGATGTAACTACATAAGATTTAATTCTACATCTTTAAGACAATTCTACTTGGTAGGCTAATTTTGTAAATAGTATATTTGTTACTAATAACCAAATAATAAATAAGGCTATACCAATTTTATTTGTTTTAATTTATTTTCGTACGCATCCTAGAATTTCATCGTCTGTCTCTGACACCAGGTCCACACACAACAAAATGGGGCACGTTATTATGTGGTTTAATAACGAAAATGTTATAGGGTTTTTATTATCCATGTAAAACAAATGTTTATAGAAAATACAAATCTTTCATGTAAGTTAGAATGGCAAGTTTCCATACATACATAACATCACGCCTTTTATCTTTTTTTTACTTCGGGACAAAAACGAAATTTATTTATTTATAATTTACAACAATATAGACTAACATTATTTTACCAAATCGTCTACATGTCACTGAATACCTACACAATTAAAATATTTATCTACATATAACTAAAGTAACAAACACAATGAGATCAAATACAGTTAAATATTTAAGTCATCATCATAACATCACGCCTTTTAGCCCCGAAGGGATAGGCAGAAGTGCACATTACGGCACTTAAATGCGACTGTACAATGTAACACCCACTTTTCACTATGTTATGAGTCCCATGCAATAGGGGGTGAGCCTATTGCCATATATATCGGGCACATTTCCAGATTCCGTGCTACTACTGAGCTTTTTTAAAAAAAACCCAGTAATACTTTGCCCAACCCGGAAATCGAACCCGAGACCCCTTGCCCTGCACTTCACACTTGCGACCACTCTGCCAATGAGGCAGTCAAAATTATTAATATTTAGGTAAGTAATAAAAATCAACCCAACTATAAAAACCGACTATTCATAAACTAAGTAGGTAAGTACCTATTTATTCTAAAATGAAGTGTTAAGAGTCCTTGAGATAAGTCAAAATGTATCTGGATATTGTACTAACACCATCGAAAAAAAAGGTCTGCATCAGGATTGCTCTGTAGAAGGTCATTGATCATAGCAATCTCCCGGCCCGTTGGACAGTTACTACAGTAAGGAGACCGCCAGCTCGGCGGACAAGCAAGTAGTCGGTGACGCCGCCTACCAGTACCACGCAAATATCGATCGGGGACATAAAAATGAATATTGTCACGCACCGATGCATTATCTATCTTCCCAATTATCAAATGGTAGTCGTAGTGTAAGATATGTACATATTTTCGCCTCAGTTCCAACGTGTCCAGGCCTACTATGCCAGAAACAAACATTGATGGGTATATATATCTCGGTATGGTAAGGCTCGGGGGCTGTTTCAGAAAGGCTAAAACACTTAAGATCCTGTACTGCACATTCGTCAGAAGCCATCTTGAATATGCTTCCCAAATCTGGAACCCCTACTATGACAAGTACATAGACCGCATTGAGAGCATCCAAAAAAGATTTAGTCGCTTTCTTTGTTTTCGTCTGAAGATACCGTATCGATCGGAGAATTATATGGAACTATGCAAAAAATTTCATGTCCACCCACTTATAAATCGCCGTCGAATAGCGGATTGCACTTATTTTGCCAAGATACTGAATAGCGAAATCGATTGCTCAGACCTTTTGCATAAGCTGTCATTTAATGTTCCGAAAAAGTCGGTTCGATTTAACCCACCAATTGCTGTCCCAACTTCTTCCTCAAATTATAGACAAAATCCTATATTGTGCGAGTGAGTAGGGATTATAATAGATTGTGCAAGGATTTAGGACTTGATCCATTTACCACAAGCAGTTAAACCGTTAGCGTTAAGCGACTAAACCTAAAATTTTTTGAATGACTATCCATGTTTTATACTTTTATGTGCATTGCATTCGCAAAACCTCTGTAAATATATACTATAGCTACGCGTGGAAACCTATAATTGGCTTTGTATTAGCATATTCTGAAATTTTATTATTTGTTATATAGCTGTTGGTTACCCGAATTAAAATAAATAAATAAAAATGGATAATATCCATATTCACGTTTGTATAGGAACCGTGCAAACTTACGCTGGATTTTTTAACCATAAGGATATTTTTCATGTGGACTCCAAATAATTGAGTTATATTCTAATTTACTACGTGCATATGCGTTGTAGAGAAGCTAAAGGGTCTTAAGATTCCTAAAATTTTAGGACATTCTTATTATAAAACCTAGAGCTTTGCTAGCGTTTGCATACTCTAATTATGTGCTCGTGAATTCAGTATAGCATCCAATGTAATGCTCAGATCACGTATAGATGCAACTCGCTCAAGATGTGTACCTGCTAATGCTAATTTAAAATATGACATTTAGACGGGATCTAGAACGAGTACCTAAATGTGATCGATTTACATTTGGTGACATTAAATAATAATTCATTACTTTCGCTCCATCTAACAACTACCTACATCAATATCTCTTTGCAATTGCTCACAGTCATTAATATCAGAGATAGAGCAAAAATAACTTTAGATTGTCAGCAAACAAGGCATTCAGTTTTAGACAAGACACTGGGTAAATCATTGATCATGATTAGAAACTGCGAAGGTCCCAATGGCCTTGGCTTACTCCCGAGTCCCGACCTTGTGTAGTATTCTTATGACCAAAAATCACATATTTTCACGAAATAATGACGACGATGACGGGCAGAATGTACCGACCGACCAATAACGACCAGTCGTATGCTGTTGGAAAGCTCTTTTCATGACTATCATTTGTTATGTATTGTTTATTTTTTTATTTATTAAGGAAAAACAAACAGTAACAATCGCCGGTTACTCACGTGAATATGAGTAACCCGCGATTTTTAGTTACATAAATTAATGTCTCACGATAGTTATTATAAAAACAGTAACATATTACAAAATATACATAAGTAATTCAGCTTACACATTATACTTGGCAAATATGTAACCCAGTTTTCCACAGATTACTTTTTAATCAGAACAAACTAATGTGAAACAACACAACAGCTTCTATTAATTCACGATGATCGATTACGAACAATTTCGTACACACTGCATCACAGACAGACTGCCCGATACCTAAGAGTTGTCCGAATATGCTTTTTAAAAACGTTTTTACTCAGAAAAAGTATGTCAATCCCGTTGAACTCACCGTTGTAAGTCTCAACCATGCGATGAAGAGGTGAACAAGCCAGCATTGGATCTACAATAGTTAGTAGCAAACAAACGCCGATGGTGCACCACACATAGATATATATATATAAGCTGTGCGAGGAACCAGGTAGTATAATTATACTCTCAATCAAGTTAGGACTATCTTGACTATACCTCTACAGAAGGTAATTGCGTTGTATCATCTCCAGAATATCATTATATTTCTTGTACAGAGGATCTTCGAACTTCAAATTGAGGTCTAGTTATAGATTTGTGTGAATGCAAAAAGGTGAAAGGTCCTAAACTCCCTAGAAGCCCACATAACGAAACCAAACATTTGGTACCTAAGCTTTACAAACTATACCATCTATATAGATAGATTCATTTATTTGCCTGAAATGTGGTGGTTTACAGATTTTATGACATAACAATAGTTCATCATATCGCCTATTTTTGGCATGCAAATATTTTAACAAAACTAAATAACGATTTTTAAAAATGATTCTAAGTTAGAACAAACAATCAAAACACAACCCTTGCTAATGATTCCAAATCAAAACAAGACAAACTAAGTTACAATTTCTAATAATCAATATGAACATCTAAGTGGAGCTTCGAATCTAACTGGACCCTACGATCATGAAGAGAACTTTACCTAGGACTGTATTAGCAAGGTAGTAGTTTAATTCCGTCTTATTTCTCTTTTTGGTAAATGTTATAACATGCCACTTTGGAAGACTAAGAAAAAGCTTAATGAAGAAGTAATTGGAAAAACGATTTAGGTCTTGCTGGAAATTAATACAATCTTGCTTGTTATTTATGGCTATATAGACCTTTAAACCATCTCATAAAGAAGACACTGAGAATGTTGGAAACAGATTTTTATGTCATTGTTTATCAATGAATTTAAAATGAAGAGTAAATGATCTAGAATGGATTCTTGGGGGACGTTCGACGTGACCGGAATACATTTGGACTCTGAGCCATTTGTCACAACTTTTTGAGTTCTATTAATTATATAAGATACAAACCATTGCAAAAGATGCCTCCTGATTCCATTGTAAGCGATTTTATTGAGAAGTAATTTGTGATAAATTTTGTCAAACTCTTTTTGGAAATCAGTGTAGACTGCATCAATTTGCTGTCTAGAATCAATACCTTCAAACAGATAGTACATAAAAATAAGGAGATTGCTAATATAAGATCGAACCTTAACAAACAAGGGGGAAAATCATCAAATGACTTCTCCCACCTCACCGAGGCGGGATAGTGTCAGACTCTTTCTGACAAAAAACCACCCCGTTCCTTCTCCTGCACTTCGAGCCGGAGCCCCGGTTATCCGTTAGGTTCTCCGCGACATCCTGATAGGGGTAGGCAGAGGTGCACATTACGCCACTGTACAATGTAACACCCACTTATCATATATTTATGTTATGAGTCACATGTAATAGGGGGTGAGCCTATTGCCATATACCGGGCCCAATTCCAGACTCCGTGCTACAACTGAGAATTTTTTTAAAACCCATAAATTTTTGCCTGACCCGGGAATCGAACCCGAGACTCCTTGCCGCCGGGCAGTCGCACTTGCGACCACTCGGCAACGAGGCAGTCATGCCATGCATGCATGCATGAAGACATGGTCGTCCCACTGCATGGCAAAGGCCTTCCTACCTTCCTTCCACTGGTCTCTTCTCAAAGCTTACTGTGACCAATCCTTTTCATAGGCGTCAAGTTCATATTTCGTATGGATATGACAGAATTAAAAACCTTCTGATGTTTTGAGCATGGACGCCGCGCCGCCTACAGCGGGGACAAGGGATGCACGTGCACCTTTGTCAGGAGAGAAATGAATAGTACTTTTCATGTTTTGTAAGATGCATTTATTATGGAAATCAAAAACTAGAGGTCGTAACATAAAAATTACGATATTTTCCTAACCTGAAGTAACGGTAGACGTCCATAAGAATTTATCAGAGCCTTAGAAAAGGCCCCTTTCCATTTCACCCCCACCCTGTCGTGAATTAACAAATAAAATATATCTTTCACTTTATGCTGTTTTTTTATTGGAACAACCCGGCACAACTTCCCAAAAACGTTGCAACTCCTGTAAGCCAGGATCTACAGTAGATACAACCATGAAAACACCGGAACACTGAAGTCCGGCGCGTCTCAGGGACATGAATAACTGTCTTGGTTCCCGCAACGAAGTGAATCAGAAGATACCTATTATAAAAGAAAAAAATTATGAGAGTTACGAAGACCTCTACTGTTTGAGATATTGTATTTTCCAGCAAACATAACATAACATCACGCCTTTTATCCTCGAAGGGGTAGGCAGAGGTGCACATTATACCACTGTACAATGTAACACCCACTTTTCAGTATTTATGTTATGAGTCCCATGTAATAGGGGGTGAGCCTATATTTTCCAGCGAATTGGGACAGTATCGGTCCTATACAAAAATTTCTCCTACCTATATTTTTATGGTTATTTTTTCGCACTCAGGTTGGGAGAATTTGTAAATGTAATTCTTTAAACTTCGTGGAATAGAAGCGTGTTGTCATCAATCAATTTGGATCAATTTGGGGTTGTGAAATATGATTAAAATGAAATGACGTTTTTTAATTTTTTGTAAACAATTGTTTATTATTAACATTTTATTTCTCGTTTGCATTCACTGCAATAATTACACTTCGTCACAAACACTCGCTGGCAAATTTATCACCGCATTAGCAATACAATATGACTTTTATTCTGTTAGAATCTATTTATGGAATTATCGGTTACAGCTTTCTTTCACATGAAGATTTCTTTCATTTTTCTTTTGAAACATTTATGTGAATATACCAAAAGGTAACATTATTATACTAAAGATAGATAACAGATAATTGTACTTTGTCCACACCGGACGAAACATAGAACAATTAAGATAATCACTGGTTTCACATGCAAAATAAACAATAATAAGAAAATAGAGAAATTAAACATTAAGATTTATAGATAAGGCTACTTAGCTAAGGAATGGAATGATTTGAAATTTTATCTTTCAGTATACTCACACATACAGCCACAAATACATTCATGATTTATTAAAATGGGTCCAAAATATCATATATAAGTCAATTTACATCAGTCAATTGTAAACTTAAGCTCAAAAAATAATTAAACAATGATTTTGTTCATAAAATTAAAGAAATTCACAATAATTATAATGATACGGTTGTAATAAATAAATTAAAAATACTGTCATTTTATTGTTCGGAATGGAAATCATAATTTTGAATTATAATATCATAACGAAATTCTCAAAAAGAAAAATGAAAGGTTCACTGTGATCAATTAAGTACAAAAATTATGATTCTATTTTTAGTACATTTGGATGTTTCATTATTTCCTCATAATTTAAACTTATTTGTCATCTTAAAAAATTAAATACAAGAGAATTATTATTGATCATCAGTCTATTCATATTTTTACAATTTTGTCGATTTAACCTTTTTAATCTACGTTCGAGTACAAAAGGCAACATAAGAGGTGATATAACCTATCACTTACCGCATATATCTACACGGACTTTATAAAATTGTAATTTAACATAAATTATTTCATAAACGATTCGTAGTCGAGCGTCCACACAGTCTGCCGGCGTGTGTGGCCGCTCGAGTGGCGAACCACAAACACAACATATCGAGAACTGTACCTATTCAAATAAATAAGTTAAAACAAGCAGAGTATCCTGTCCTATGTTGCCTGATGACACATTTATATTGTCTCAGTACTCTTATAAGTAATGGAGAATATACTTACAAAACTAAAACTTACGTTTTTTATACACAATGACTTAGGTTTCGACAATTTGTTTCTATAAGTACTGAAGTTAATTTTAACCTATGGACTAACTACGTGCGTGAACATTTGTGTAGTGCGAGCGCGACTCGTACGAGCTGCATGCTGGCATACAGCTCGTAGGAATGGCGCTCACAGTCTCAGGAACGTTACATTATCGTGCTAACTGAACTACAGCCCGAGTACAGAAGTTACGAGAGGAAAGAAAAAAATCTACGTCGATTTTCAAGAAAACCTGAACAAGATTTTTTGTGTGAGATAATTCACTATCATAATCATAGGAACAAATGACAACAATTAGTCAATCACAAAATATAAATCAATGTAAAACTGATGAACGCATCATTCGCGTTATTATTATTTTTTTATAAATTAGTCTAATCTTATTTTACGCACGGTTTGGCTTCTATACTGGTGCGAGTCTAGAGGGATAGTGTTAGTGGTGTGTTGTGTTCGTGGAGCGACACTGGCCGCAGTGGTGAGCGGCGTAGTTCCGCGCCTAGTCGCGGCGCAGTGCCGCGCCACGATGCGGCGCAGTGCCGCGCCACGATGCGGCGCAGTGCCGCGCCACGATGCGGCGTCGCGCAGCGGACCGAGCTACGGGACGCAGCACACGTTACCTATACTTGGACTTGAACATTTTGTAAACAGTTTAACTAGCAAAAGGCTAACGAGGACTATATATAAAAATTAAGAGGATCTAGACTTTATACAAAAATGTTTACGTTTTCTAATTTTTGACGAACTATTTAAACTGTAGACAAAATGTCCTCGGGCCAAGTGTACAGAGATCGCGACGTGGACAAGTCCACCGGCCCCTCGGCTCGCGCGGTCCTCGCGGCGGCCGCTCGACGCTTGGCGGCGCCACTGTCGCCACGACGCTCGCCGATCAGGGGCGGAAAAAACGCGATCCGTCCCGCCGATACTATTTACAGGGGCGTACGAATCGCTCTCTTAAATAAATACTTCGGAACGCTTATAACTAGACGTTTATACAGGGTCACTTTACACTTTACGCTATATTTACACGCGGCGCACAGCCTGTTTCGCACGAGCGTCCGTTGTGAATAAATAAGTTAGTGTTGTCCATTGACGCATTTAGTATCACTACACTTGTGTCGCGTACGTCGGCGGCAAGCAATGGTCGTCTAATACGTACACCCCTCCGCCTTCTAGCGCTCGCTTAACTAGCGACGTATCGCTGTAACAATAGAAAACTCAAGTTAGACACATTGTCGAAAATACCAGTTAAATAAATGTTTAATTAAACAGCTAGAGATGTCAAAGAGCTTTTAAATATCGAGTATTATTAAATATGCTGAGAGAATTGTAGTAGCACAGTATGTCGTGATACTGACCTATTAGCGCAGTAGGCGGAGTCCGCGGAGAGCCGCGACAGTCGCGGGTCCAGCGCGGCCAGCAGGCGCGCGCTCTCTGTGTTGAGAGTCTTGCGCTTGCACTCCTCGGCCGCCGCGTTGTGCGCGTTCTGGCACTCCGGCGCCGGCGCGTCGCACTTGCCCCACGTGTTGCGGATGACGTGCCCGCCCGCGTTGGCCGCGTTCTGCGCGCGCGCCTCCGCGTCCGCGGCGCGCAGGGCTCGCGCGCGGCGCCGGCGCAGGCACACGATGGCCAGCACGGCGGCCAGCGCCGCCAGCGGCACTGCGGCCGTCACGGACGCGATCCACGCCACCTGTTGCCCTGATAGCGCCTCCTCGCCCCCCTCGTCCCCCACCCGCCGCTGATGTCCCCCCGCCTGCTTGGACACGAGCTCCGCCAGCGACACGGTGCACGACTTACCGCCCCAGCCCGGGGGACACGAGCAGTGGTAGCCGTCCACTCGGTCTCTACAGGTGCCTCCGTTCCGACACGGTGAAGATGAGCACTCGTCGATGTCGATGCTGCAGTCCTTGCCAGCGAATCCAGGTCTACACCGACACTGATAGTCATTGTCGAGGATCTTACATTCGCCACCGTTCGCGCAGGGTTTAGCGAGGCATAGGTCCACTCTGGTCTCGCAGCGCGAGCCCACGAAGCCGGGTGCGCACTGACACCGCTGTCCGTTAACGAGGTCGACGCAGGTGCCACCGTGTTCACACATGATACCCGCGCAGTCGTCGATGTCAATCTCACAGCGATTTCCACGGAAGCCAGCACGGCAGGTGCACTTGAAGCCGTCGCCAGCGCGCGAGCAGGTGGCCCCGTTGCGACAAGGCCCCGCGGCGCACGGGTCAGCCTCGAGCGCACAGTCCGTCCCAGCGTAGCCCACGGGACACTCGCACACGTAGCCAGCCCCGCGCGGCTCGCACACGCCACCGTTGCGACAGGGTCGGTCCGCGCACGTCAGGCGCCGGGTCTCGCAGCGCGCGCCCTCATACCCCTGCGGACAGGCGCACGCCAGCTCGCCGCCCTCGTCGGGCACGCAGGCGCCCCCATTGAGACAGGGCCGCACTGCGCAGGAGTGCAGCGACTTCTCGCAGTCTGGCCCGGTGTACTCGGGCGGGCACATGCAGGTGTAGCTGCCCTGGCCGGTGTTGTGGCAGGTGCCGCCGTTGCGACAGGGGCGGTGGTTGGTGCAGTAGTTGAGGTCCTGGTTGCAGAACAGTCCGCCCCAGCCCTCCTCGCAGTTGCAGTCCCAGGGCCGCAGGCAGGTGCCGTGCACGCAGCCCGGGTGTCGCTCGCACTGGTCGCACAGCTCGCCCACCCAGCCCGAATGACAACTGGAATTAAACGACAACATTCGTTAGTACACAATGGGACGTGATAACAAGCGACAAAAAGCTTGTCTTTCTTCTCGTAGGGAACAATGAGGAGGATGAATGATTTAGACACGGAGGGAGGTAACGTGCGCGTTTAGCACAAAGGTGTGAAGTGGATACTCACATGCATTCGTCGGGCTTGAGGCAGTGGCCGTGCTCCGCGTCGCAGCCGGGCAAGCACCGCGCTGCAACAAAACAATACATTCGTTAGCGTCACAAAGACAAAGCACTCACGATGGAGCCAGCGCGCTAATGGACTTCTTTAATTGTAGAGGAAGCAGGAGCGTTTAATCATCGGGGGGATATTCGATTCCCGCGCGGTATCTCACATTAACGTTGGAATCTGTGTGCCGTTTCGCTGTAAAGGACACGGCGAGTGCAACAAAGAGAGAGGTTCGTTAGCGTCCCGGCCGGGGGCGAGGTCGCGCGCACACACTATTTATCTTCACTCGCACCAACTCGTAACTACAACGAAATCCTCTTTGAACTTTATAACCTGCATTAAATTAAAATTTTCACTTTAATTTCGCGTGCAACAGCACTTTAGTCACGTCGAGGGCCATGTCTTCAGGGATTTCTAATTATAATACGAGACTATTATACCAGAGAGTTGTACGTGTCGACTATATTTACATCATTAACTTCGTATGTAGTACTGTTTACACATCGAACTTTACCCTGCTTCCAATTTGCGGAAAACGTTCAGTGTCCTCGTTTTATTTTTAATGAACGAGTTCATTGCTGCATGGACACGTCAAAGATCTATTTCGTAAAAAGCAAAACGGTAATGTATCGCTGATGTTAAGAAAAATTGTTTTGAAATAAGACGTGCGGTGCGAGTCGTATCGGTCGGGTGCGCATGGGCAAGTTATCGGAGCGAATACAAAGGGGGGCAGATAGCGCGGGGAGCCTAACCGTCGCTCGACCGTTACTATTCCCCTAACTCGCTAGAAAAATACTAGACGCCATCTTGATCATAACTTTCATTCCCTATCCAAATGCAAATGTGGACTGGCTTATTCCGGTTCTAAATTGGACGAGGAAGCAATTTCAGCGAAGCTCCGACTACACCGTGGAGTCGGGGAGCTATTTTGTGAGCTTAGAGGCGGTCGGGAGCTGCATAAAGGAGATTAGCCTCCGCACCGCGCTCCCTAGACACTATTATAGGTTTAAACACAGCCGAGCGAGCATAAAGCCCCCAAACTTGCTCCGAGAGTGCGCAAATCGGCTTAAGCCGCACTCCGGCGAATTGGTTAGCTCACTCACGCGGTTATATCTATTATCATTGCTGCAATGAATCTTTTAACTGTTGAGAAAATTCAAATATAAGCTGCTTTCACGTACGTTTCACACTTTCGCAAATAAATATAAAATGTTATTTGAAACAATCGCTTCTCATGACCTCCGGTGGGCCATTATAATGAATTATTAATAAAACTTTATGAGGAACATAAGAGACGAAGAAAAAGTAAGTCGGGCGCCGCGCTCGCTCCGCCAGAGCAGATCAAAGAGCTCGAGTGCCGGTGTTTGTGCGCCGTGCTACTCCAGAGCCACTCGAACTTATCTTGACCCTCGAACTGAGGTAAAACGGTAGTAAAAATTACACTCCAAAACCAATTTAGATCGTAAGTGGGCACGAAGAAGCCGCGGGGAGGATGTTACGGCGCGCTCCTGCAGACCTATTAATTATTATCGATGGACATGAATAGTATCGATTTCTAATGAAAGGCTAGCGTGCGCCGCACTGCGACCAAGGTCTCAGCCGAAGCCCCGGCCTTCGCCGAGGACAGGTAGGACAACAAAAACGACAACTTCGGCCCTGACTGACACTTCCCACACGTGTTCAGCAAATATTTAACTGATCCCTACATCTGCTTCTATCCCAAACGGAAATTAGGTGCGCGTGGGATTCGCAATACAACACAGAATATAATGTAATATTCGTGAGAACTTTACTCTCGTTAATAATTAGGCGAAATTAAGCGGCCATAAAGGCTCCTCTCGCGATATTTACCCTATCATTAAGCAGGAGTGCTGGACGGTGGATAATGCCGCCGGGACATGCAAATAAGTTTTCGGGATTGTTAAGCTTTCCCAGAAGGCAAGATACCGTTCGGCAGATGTGAGGCAGCTTTCGTGACACGGTCAAGTACAGAGTTTATTTCGATTGGTGTTCAGTTCTCGTTTAAAGGTGTTTTTGACCCGGTTCGTGGCATCTGTGTAGCGGCCCGCGAGCGCGGGGCTGTGTGCGTGCGCGAACCTACTGCGTTGTTTTCATTACATTATGGCCGCTTCTCTCGCTTTTACATTTTCGTAATCGCCGATACAAACTCCACTGATAGGGTTGCCGAGACTTTTATTGCCATGCATTTGTGTAACATACGATCGTTTACGTTCGCGATATTGTTCCTTTCACACGTTCCATATAAAAAATATTTTTTTTGTTGTTGTTTTGGGATGATTCAGATGTCGATCGTGTCGGGTTGTCGTCTGTTTACTTTTTCCAGAAAATTGTGATTTCGCGGTTATGGAGTCGCGTGGAGGCTGTATCGGGCAGGCACAGCCCTGGCGCGGGAGCGAGACGGCGCGCTACAGAGAGCGGGGCGCTGCGTCTCTGTCTGGCGCGTTTTTTGCGGCGCCGGAGTGTGGGAACGCGGCGGCAGGTGGGGCTGCCGAGATTGCGACGCGACATCCGCCCGCCGCCCGGCCACAATGCATCTCGCCAAGACGCACAGCTTTGTTTCACAATACGACTCGCTATGTGCTTAACATACAGCAGGACGTCGTAATGACGTGATCTTAGTATTTTATTAGAAATGTTAAGATCGACAGGTAAAAGCGAACGGACATTGATTGCCAGTGAGCGGTGCGTCCGTTGCTTTTGTTTACAAACGCATCATGCGCGATGGAACGCAAACAGTGCGCCGCGAGGACGGTCACACGCTGGCGATATACTATGACGGAGATTATAATTATTAATACCGCGACACTCTGTCGTCTACCATACCGCGGCCATTCCACTATTGGAAATAAATAACGTCACTTGTTGTCATTTCAATCAATTAGAAAATTACAGCGTCGTTAACCGGCAGTCTGGTTTGACATTAACTGCCCAAGTAGCAATTATTTTGATGTAAATAAAGATGAACTAAATCTCTGTAATGAATACTTTGATATTCGCTATTTGAGATGAAGAATGTAATTAGCATCAAGATTCGTCAGTTTTTATCAATGCGAATTTACAAAAAAAAACAATGAATCTAGAAATATTTTTAAATGAGGTTTTTCACATCATATGAATGGGTAGTTACATTTGATTTAACAATTCCATTGTGAATATGTCGGAAAATAATAAAAAAAAATCAAATCGAAACGCTAATTAGTAGAGTTGCCAAGAAGTTTTAATGTGCCATTACGAAGGAAATTAATTAAATACAGGAAATTAATTTCAGAAAATATCTCAACAATTATACACATAAATAAAGTTATGTATGAAATTATGAATTATTGTTTACGTAGAAAAATTTCAACATTAAATAAGATAATGCTCGCCTGTAATTACTATAAAACTATACTTTATATCAGCTATTTTATAACTTCGAGACTTAACACAAAAAATATGCGATTAAAATTATGAGCCGTTGGTTGGAGGTCGGCCGATGGCACGGGAAGTGAATATAACCTTATAAATAATGTGAATACTCTAATAGTGATATGGGACTAATTAAAAATACGATTTATGACTTCGGAGCTTCGAGATAATTAGTGCCATTACTATTCGCATGCTGGTATTAAAAACAAAACAAAAAAAAAACATACAAGGAGGTCGCTGACAGCTGTCAAAACTGACATTAGAGAATACCAACATTTCCCGCCTTATTGAGCATTTAATAGCTTTTAGGTTATGTTTATTTAAAGTGGTCTGTACTAAACCAACATAGTTAAATTAACGACATTCAAGTTAATATTGGTTGAATTCCACATCGTTTAGTTTAAAGGATGTTGTTTTAAGTTTAATTTGTCTTTTTTACAATACATATGTTTGCACACAGAGCTTTAAATATGTATAATTAAAAGAAAACAGATTTCCTTCCAGTAAGATCGCTAATTATGTCAATTACAATGTTCCTTGACATTTTATATCGTGCGAACGTCGTCTTGTACTTTAGCTTTTTTATTTTACAAAAAACAGGGTGTGTCACATTTTCATGTTACATCATTATAACGTTCCTATGACGGTCACAATTATAATGTTTATGAGAGGATGTCAGGCTAAAAATTGTCGTTACTTTAATGAGGAAGAGTGAATTGTGGGTCGTTCTATATAATAAACTGGGATATTGGAAATTTAGGACACCATGTGTGACGGAGTAGCGAATTTATCTTTAATTCACAATAATCAAGGCCCCTTATTTATTTAGAAGAGGTGAATCAGCCTGATTTCTCACGAAATTCAGGTTGGCACGGAATTAGGCCTACCTACTAATCTATTTCGTTTTCGACTATTTTTATCGATGTAGTGAAGTATATTTTTAGTTTATTGTTCGTTTTTATGTTACTAGGCATGTTTACACACGAAACGAGCACGATTGGAAGTCCGTCAGGTAAAGTTCGTATACAAAAGACGTGGACACATTCGAATTACTTTTCTTTGTCAATGAACACAATGATTTAAGATTTGTGGCTATTGATTTTTATACGTCATAATGGGCGGTTGCACTCGGATGGTAGTTAAGTACTTATAATAACAATGTGAGTATGGTCGGTCCCTAATGGGTACCTACGATGATGGCGTTCTGAGATCTTATTGTTATGAATAGAGAGTTTATAATGGAACTTACGTTTCGAGCAATAGTCTCCGGTCCAGCCAGCCTTGCAGACGATGCCTCCTGATGGCGAACAGGTGTAATGTCCGAAGGCATCGTCTCTCGGCCTGCACAGCACCTCGCACCCTGCGCCGTAGTAATGAGCAGCACAAGTCACCCTGTACGACAGCTTCAGATGAGCAGAGCCGGCTCCACCCCACCGTTGTTCTTCTTCTATCCACGGGCCCCCCACATCCGCAACGCTTTGTTTCGTCATTCGCGCGATAAGGGTATCTGAAATGATGAACAAACAAATAAATATTTTGGAAAGACGTAAAACAAAAAGTGGACTGCACTGGACGTTAATATTGAACTTTAACGTAAGATAGCTCTTTACATGCAACTAACACGACCTAACATTGCTAACGACTGTCATAATGACGTCACAGCGCAGCAAAAAATCAGCAGTTGCAGTAGCTCGTTAATAGCATGGCATCAGGTGGGCCAGCCTATTAGAACTCTTTATGAATAATTGAAACAAACGATCGCGCTTCACTATGCCAGGAATCCGTCTGTCTAGTCTATGAATTTTAAAGTTTTTAAAGGTGCGGAATATTGGCAGACTGCATTTTCGGGAGCTGCCACCGCGCAGGTGCAATGTGCAAATAAACTTGTTTCCCAATTTGCTACATCTGCTCCAAAATTAACGGGACAATTTTAATTAATAAAAATACGGGTACTTAAAGACACAAATATTTGTTTATCACCGTGGGAAAGGGTTACAGAAGTAAATTGACCTGTTAACGTAGAGCGTTTGAAGCCCGCATTCGACCGTGAGATTTCATTGTTCCCAAGCGTGATTCACTGTTTTGATTCGTCGCCGGCGCCGGTGTGATTGATTAATAGTTTTAACTACATTCTTTATGTAACATATTACTTGTAAACCACACATAAGTGCAACGTTTAAGTTAGAAAAAGTAGCTGGACGACTGCGAGCGAGCCAGGCTAACATTACATAAGTGACGAGCAAAAAGTGGTCTGTGAAAACTACCCAGCATTGATTTGAAAAACTGCCACTCCATTCATCAAACCACGTAAGTGCTGACTCTGCGGTAGGGCTGCCCTTATTGCTCTCATTACGAAAACAAAACAAAGGCAACCAAACAGAAATCCACCAACTTATTTAATTTAGTAATTTCGAAATAGGTGGGAAAAAATACAAAACGTTCAAACACAAACCCCGAAACAATTTGGGACTATCAAATTAAAGTTCTATACAAGGAATAAACACGAGTCATCGCGGTGAGAAAACATTTTTTGTTAGCCGTCCGTCCTAGTTTGGACAGTTAACGCGGCAGCCCTAGCTAAGAAATCTCAGCGTCGACCAGTTTCTACCTTTATTTATTTCTCGTCGTGTATGGCCACTTTTTAGTCTTGTTGCTTCGATGGGTACATTCCTAAGCCGGTAATCCCGACAGCAGATAAAATTAAACCAGACGCGAAATAAAATTAAAAGGTATATAAAAACGTTCGATCCCGACTAATTTCGTGGCGTATGGTGTGGAAGTGTTCCTTTTGTTTTCGATGCGAGGAACTTCTCCGATGGCAACGAGAGAGATGCAGGTATCGGTGATCTGCAGCGAGCTTAGAGCCGAGTGCACCGAGTATTAATATAGGAAAGCGGGTCACAGGTCACTGACACATCCTTGTGTGCAGTCCTTGCTATGTACGCGGATGCGCACGTAAGCGCTGTGGTATGTGGATTGTTTTCAGGAACACTCAATGATGCAAAATGTAATGAACCACTCCAAACACATCCTAACAGCGGCAGCGTGTTGACATTGGAACACATCCCGATATAACCGCCGCCAGTCACATACTACCGATAAATTACATCAAACCCACATTATCCAGACATCCAGTACAGTAAGTATAAACAAATCAAAAATAAAACTTTTCTTACAAACTTTCAAGTCGCGGAATATCATAATGACATTGGACGTTGTCACGACATTTACTTGGCAAATATGGCGCAAAGAATACAAATTCAATTTTCATATAAATATCATGGAAACGATTATTGCGTCGACATCGCTAGTATAAAGCATAGCGCACACGATTTACCGGTCCCGTGTAGGCTTACAAAGATCGTATCTGTACAATAAATCTAGAAGATAAAACGCGTATGCTACGCCGGTTGTGTACCTAACGAAAATACAATCAGACGAGAGCTATCAATTTATTTCGATCGGGTCTTTCATTCCGATTAAATATTATGAAGTTTATTCTACTCAACACTCATCAATTTTATAGTTTCGATTCTATACGTGGAGAGCGTGAGTAAAACTTTAATTTTAACGATAACTGCTGTGTGTTCTGTGCTTAAATGGACAAAGAAATTATGAAAGTAAGTGTATGCACTTCGGAGGAAATTAGAAAAGTGATGTGTGGGAACTGCGCGCCGACCGCTTGCAATTTACCTCCAATGTGCGCACGAGAATTATGGCAACCGTGCACCCAGCCCCCGTTGCAGCAGGGCTGTCCGGAGACCTACAACCGCAACAATAACCCGCGTCCATTCTATACTTCGTACTCCACCAAAACAAAAACAAAACTATCCAAGCTTTCCGAACAAATTGGATACTTATAAAGAGAACATAATTAGGTCCCCTTACCAACCCTACAAGATTCGACTCGGCAGGCAATTTGTAGGAAAATTGCGTCTGTACAACGTTTTTGTGTTCTATTTGAATCGTCAGAGTTCGGTTCTCCAGAAACAACCGAACAAATTACAGACATCATCCTAATTCAACGGCGTAACGATATTAAATGAAGGTGTACCCGACTATCGGATCTATTAATGTAATTCCAATTCACAAATAAATAACACATTTAAAGAAGGACGAGGCAGCATCGGTACGTGCCCGCTGCCGCTGCGCCAGATAACGTGTAATTATGGCCCCAGAGGTCACTACAAATAAAACGAAAATTTATCCGAACAGCAAACGCCAATAAACAAAAACAAAAGAAAGCGAAATAACCGATAATTTGAGTCGGCTGCGCTATCGGAGGCGGACGCAAGCGATTTGGGATGTTTCAAAACGCGATTTTGGGGAAGCGCGGGGGATGCGCGATCACGCGACGCTTCCGCTGATGTGATCGATCGATCGATAATGAGGCCACCGGACGCTGGCTACTCGCTCATTATACCAGCCTGACAGCAGCGCCTAGCGCGACTGAACCGCGAGCGATCTAATTAGCGATCGGTGGGAGGTTTCCAACGAAATCGAAACCGCGACGTCGAGCGATGTTGACGCGCGAAGGTTCGACGACCGTTTTCCGCAGGTGAGGCCCACATCATTAAACGATGTGTCGATTTCCACTCGTCTCGATTCGGACACCTGCCCGGGCCGGTCGTACGGCCGCGGCCGCGCGCCCGCCGCGCCGCGCTGTGGGAAACTACATCTCATCAATGGGCCTGTCTATACAAACGACGCGCCACTTTTGTTTATAAAACTGTCCACTTCTAACACTCAAAGAATATTTCGTTACGAGAAGTGCTCCTCGGCGACGTCGCCTCTTGCACTCAATAAATAACTCATCCACTCAAACCTCAAGAGCCTCGAGAAGCCAAATTAAACATTTCTCAATGTTGCTTAAAGAGGTTTCGCGTAAAGACGTGAAGAACGGTTCGCAATTTAAAGTTCCCATTGTTCAGTGAGAAGATACGGACAGTTTCGTTCCGCGCGGAGGATTCGATGAATGCGAAGGATTGTGCAATGTAGTCCTTACATTTCCAGACGGCTGACGTGGTGCTTAACCTTCGTGAAAGCCAATTAACGAGGCAAGTAATCATAGCCGCGACGCGAGTCCTGGGAACCGCGCACGGGCCGCACCACCCGCTACAGTAATGAATTGACTAATAATGCACGGCCGGATAGCGAGATAAGCAGCCGTCACAACATAACTGTATCGATAATCGCATCTCGGTCGTGTAATGTCAGCCGGCGAGCGGTAGCCGGGCCCGGGGCGGCTCACCGGCCCGCGCCAGTAATTGCCTCTACGAATCTCTTATCAATACATTTCACACGCTCTTTTTCTCGATTCCACCTATATGGGCTAGTAAAACTAAGTAGTGCAATAATGGTAAACAGTGCGGCCAACACGGCGGTAATGTAAACAAGAGCGCAGGACGAGACATTAGGAGTGTGCCCACCTATTATCCGAGAGCATGTGCCGAGCATCTGTCGACAGCGCTTCCTGAGAGCCACCGCGCCTGCTACATCATAAATCGAACCTTCCGGAGCGTCTTCCTGATATTTTTTATAATGTTCAAGCCCTACGACGACGAAAGATGAAGTGTAAACTAAAAAATTCCCTGACTTCCCTCGGAGGTGTATTTTTTAGCATCCAGTAAGTAAACAATACCGCGCGGCGGCCCGTTACTGCGGACCAGGTGCGGCTCGGCCTGCCTCGGGCGCTACACAAAAGATTTCGGTGAAGGAGCCGAGCGACAACATCAGGATTGCCAGCGACCATTGTTGTGTACTTATTTGTTTAGCACAAGAATCTCTTTATTCGCCGCTGTGAGCGAGCGCTGCTCAATGCGCCGCGTGTTTATCTATGATATATTGGATTCTTAGACGCGTGGGTCGCCATTCTTCGTGTCTTCTGCATAAAAATTTACTGCACCGAAGGGTCGCGACAATGAATTACCTACGTACAACGATCGCTTTCTAAGTCAATGCAGCTGTTCAATTTGGGTATTAGATAAAAAACCGAATGTGATTTAATTAAGCATTAGTCCGGTGAGTCGATAGTGAGTGAACACAAACGGCGTGCGTGTAACCTGTTATTATGCTTGATTAGATTTCTGTTGGTAACATTTCTCGGTAGTGAAGCGGCGCCGCCCATCGCTCCCGAGCCGTATTAAAAATATACCCGTCCTCTAAGCTATCCACTTCGGACGCTAATGATTTTCGGTAAACCGGCCCGTAGACACACCTCACCGTATCTCTAAATCTCCTAAGTAAATCACCGGAGTTTTTTGTTAGTCGGTCAGGAGTAGTAATTATGTCGGTCAGAGTGCAGCGCGGTATGAAAATCTAATTAAGAAATGGGCGTCGCTGGTCAGTTTTCGCGTCCGCCATTTTAATAATTTTGAAAATCGAATTGGGCGCGTTCGTTTTTGTTTCGGCCGGCATCAAAACACTGAGGAGTGTTTTGTTTTTCGTGTAGCGATGTAGCAGGCAGGAGTTGTGTAGCAGCGCGCGGCGCGACGTAGCGATGCACGCGGCGTATTATCACGATGATGTATTTACGACCCGGCCGGTTACAATTCATTCGGAATCGTTTTTTCGGTCACGCCACGTCGCATGTAAGACATAAACTGTCGATTCTTTATTGGGCGTTTAGGCTTCTCGTGATATCAAACGGAACGAGCAAAACTTACCCAATCGATTATTATAAATGATAACGATCTAAAATTATATTCGAGCACATGGCATGACTTAAACGCGATTTTGTGGCTAAGATGGCGTGTCAAAGCCGAATGTTTTCATACAAAAGGTTGTTTAAACAAAGTAGGTAACCAATTTGCCTATATTCCTTAAGTAATGTTCGTAGCGCGACGTCTAGGTGCCGGTCAACGGCCATCGGAATACATTAGAACATTTCTACTAAATTTTCGTCCTACAGAAGGCTGAGTTTATTAGAATAGCGCGCGCATTGCGAAGCGAATCACGCGCATCGCCGCGTGCTTTGAACACCAATCGTCTACACCATGGGAACATTTTTGTCTTCCACGATATGATAATATGAGCATTCAAATATACATACTGTCCGTTAAATGCACGATAAACACCCAGAATTACAGTGAAACCTGAATGTGAGTGAGTCGTGACGACGTGATTTGAATTTTACAAGGCGGACGAAGATTTTCATGACCCTTTTTATCATAATCGTATTATAAGGAGAACAGAGGACTTACCATCAGATCTCGACGTCTCATTGGTGTCGTGCCAAGCTTCCACAATAAGCGTGAATGTGCCCTGCAACATAAAGGAGCGTGTCATATTATTGCATTACAAACACGCTGACAAGATAAGCATCAAAATATCTACAAGTGCTCGATAAAGGAAGTGAAACTCGAACTGTAATGACAATTCGCCTGTTCAATATGGCGTTAACAAATTTATTCCACCTGTCCTTTTCAAAACTTTCACGTTACTTCATTTCCTTCATGTTCACACTTTTATTTATCCCTACACAATGTGGCAACCGCATCGTTTAGTGATTCACGCGACATCCGCAAATCGTACCAAAATAATAGCCCTAGGTACAGGTACCATCATCTCGAGAAACAAGACCTTTAAACATGGGCGCGGCAGTTGAGAATTTCAAATATTTCCTTTACTTTACGACAATGTTAATAGCCGACGAGTGTAAATTAACAACATGATAGACAGGTGAACCCGGGAGCAGATGGTAGCGAAATTGTTTCAATATCATGCTAAAAATAATACAAACGCAATAAGGCAATGACGCTGGCTCGCTCTGCTAACGAGTGCCTACTGCCTACATCGAATGATCCCGCGGTGAACGTGCACCTATAAAAAATACGAACGAGTGCGTATCTGATATCGAGCTATTGACATTAGTCCATGTTTACACAACGAGGCGAAACGGCAGTCGAAAATCGATTAAAAACTTGATAACGCTACATGTCAACAGCTTTGGGGCGCCTGCGACGGAACTTATCAATGGGTTTTTTGTCAAGTTCCGTTCATGCAAAAATGTACGAGTCTCGGTTTATGAAATTTCTCCCACCGCGGTCGGAACCGGTCGCCGGCCGCCGGTCAAACACTCGATCCCGGCGATGCTCAGCCTGCCCGCCGCGCGCCGGCTCGTGTTCCCGACCTTTGCTTCTCTAATCGCTGTTTAATTACGCTACGGATGCGAGTTATCGATGAACAATTTTCGGTTAAATATTGAAACGAAAATACAACTGTTTATTGCAGATTAATACGTTACAACGGACAAATAAAACGTAGTCGTAATAAAAGTTGAAACATTGAAGGTGAGTGGAAACGCGACCCACTTCTATGACACACAGATCGAATTCAAAGCGTCTTGAACCGTGTTCACGTATCACTCGGACAACTTTGTAGCAATGATATTCGATATTAGTAAATATATTAGAGGGGCGATTTGGAACTGTTAGCATGAAACAAACAAAGTAGAGAAAGGAAAAAGATTGAAATAAAATGGTGTTTGCTGAAGCACCGCGATGAAAGCTAGACTATAGATGATTAAAGACGAAGACGGACGCGAGGGAATCTCTGAAGCTGGATTATAATTACAATAAGCATGTGACGGGTCGCCTGCGCAGCTGCGCGCGCGCCGGATACGAAGGGTCACCGCTTAACTAATACCTCATTTGATCGCCACCACCTACTTTAACGAGTGATTCAGTTTTTCCGGACAGATGTCGCCAGTCTTCAATTAAGCTCTATGAATGAAAACACTATTTGCATGCACGAACAATGGTCTCTATTTGCATAGGAACTGATACCACGTCTCTAACGAACAATGATTATTGTCGACTGATGGAAATCAATACGAGAAATCTGACGTTTCACAACGCACGACGACGCGTCACAAAAAACCGAACGCTTTTTCCAACACTCTTGAAAAAAAGACGAGATTTCAATTAAACTTTCGTTACGTCCACGGTTTTGACGAATTTATAATGTGTTACGTTAAATACTTAGACGATACAAGCGGACGTGTCACACGTCCCTCTGAATACTAAGCAGACGGGCCCGCCGACTGAACGAATTTGAGCCTTAAACGATACAAAATAACCTTAATCAGACATCAAAAAGTAGATTTACCAATATAAGGAGTGAAAGACGCTTGTCAAAATACTTTATTATGATTTGTGTTGCATGCACCCGATCAAATATGGCAAGTCGTAGTATACGCCGTATTGATTTGTTAATCGAGTATGGAGAACGCATTTCGGTCAGCTGTGGCCGGTCGTAAGTATATGCCGGTTCCCACGACAGTGACTCTCGAGCCAGCCCATAAAAAGCGGCCGACGTAAGCGTACGTGTGCAGGTAGCCTTTATAAACGTGTCGAGTTGGCGATACCGTATACTTATACAACAAGTTGTTGAGTCTCAGTGCCTAGACTTTGCTAGCAATTAAGGAAACGTATTAGTCCGTGTAAAGCTCGCCTTATTTTGTGCTAATTTTATCTGTCCTCACAATTCGTTGCAGTTTGTGTTCCAATTCTGAAAAATCAAAGCAATGCTGGCCATCAAAGACGCGTTAATCATCACCGTTCCAAATTTGAACGTGTTCTCTTTTTATTAAAAAACATAAAATCGAGCTGGGATCGCAGCGTATCGAGACACATTAATTTTATCCCTCGAAAGCGATGCGTTAAATTGTATTACTGAGTATAGGAACTTGAACGGACGAATAGACTGATATCACGGTATGAATGCTGGGGAATCATTTGATAATCGTTTTATGGGGGTGCCTGAAGAGGCTACTTCCATATCGGAGCTCGTTTCAACGTTATTTCGTTATTAATTAAGGAATCCATCGAAAGGATACGTGGGAACGGAGCTAAAGTTTTGTGCTTCTTATTTGTTAGCGCCATGTGTTTGGGATTTTGAAGAACAAAAGGTATAATCAGGTGTCCGGTGAAAAGGACCTCCGTTTGGGCCGCTCCACGTGTTTGGGCTACTATTGTTCTGTTTATTGTTTAAGTGAAATGAAACCGATTTAAAATGGCAACAGATGTTTCTGTTGTTTGTTGGTTTTGGCTACAGCTTATAATGAGCTTAAAGCTACAAAAAATATGAAAGACTACGGGTTTCTTACCGCTGTGTTCAACATAAACTCGACTAGGTACCGCTTCAATAAATTGGAACAAGGTCACCCTACGATTGGTTTCGGTCAAAAGTGTACAATATCGGAAGTATTTATATAAAACATTACAAAAAGACATTACCGTAGTTCGCTTTCGAGTATCGTTTCGACACGAGAAAATATTTGGAACACAAACACCCGGGCAAGTGGAAGAGTCGTGATTTCATATTTCACACTTTGCCAGTGTGGTAACATCGCTTTGGACAGGTTTTTTTTTCACTTAAACCCCGACCAAGTTGTGTTTCGGCCAGTATCTCAGAATCGATTGTTAGCGCACAGCAATAAGGTTTCATATCCGACGATTGACTGAATCGATTTGTAAATGAAACGTTGCCTTGTTGATATGTAGACAGAACGAAGAGTTGCCCCGTACAATACGTCAAATTAAAAAAGATATGCAAATTCAAGTCCGTCCGATAAATATGGAACGCGTAACTCGTTTTATTATTACAAGCGTTCCGAGCGCATTTATTTATTAATGCTTTTAATTAACTTTATCTCCTTCTATTTTGGCAGCGACGAATGTGAGGAGCGTTGACCCGATGATGAATCATTTGACACTGTATTAGGAAGTTTTCTTGTATAATAAAAATGCTTTTAAGTCTTGTTAGGATTGTGCAATAAATATAATATACACCGTGTGAACGGGAGACTTCCTGTACAAATATTCTCTAACAAAAAATTCAGGTCGACAGTTTATTGGCGACATGGAGTACGTACACATGCATTCTGTTAGAATGTTAAGCAGTTTCGTGTTAAAGTAACTGAGCGAGGCACTGAGCCTCTCTACTGCGCTGCTGAGTCGCGAGGCGAGCGCCGCGGAACTATTTTAGCAGTAGAGCGCACTCTCCAAAATGGCCGGTTAATCCTTGTTGGTGTACGGGCACGTCTGCGCAAGCGCATATAGACAAAAGCGAGACGTTCTCAAAGCAAGAGCGACCTCGTAGCTCATGTGAACCTACCAAGTTCCAAATAAATTGTTTAACGAGAGAAATCCTTTGTTTGTATTCGAAAATTGTTTGCTCAAAAATTAAGAGGAAACTGACTTGAATGGCTGTGTGTAGTAGATCTACTTAACGTTTTCTTCAAAAGCAATATGATTCTAATGTTATAAGAGTTTTGGAACAGTTCCAACAAACTAACGAAAGATTTATGACTTTATACTTAACGTGTGAATTCATAAACATTTTAGCGTTATAACAGTCAGAATTATGTCTCTGGACATCATCTTTTATCTAACAACGTACTGTATCTCTCTATTACAAACTCCATCGTTTACAAGATAATTTAAAAACAAATATTAATATCCAAGATCATCAAGCGAGCATAAATAACACACAAACTGCAAAATGGTCATGAGATCATTTACATTTCCCTCGAGACGCGTCAATTAACAAATCTTTACGTCCAGCCAGGTACGACATAAAATGTTCAACCAATTAAAAGCGTTAAACATTTTCACACGCCAATCATAAATAATAACCATTAAATTGATGCTATAATAAAGTTCCAGTGTTGCCCACTAAACCCGAGAAAGTAAACACTGATGTGACCACACTCGAAAAATTAACCGACAGTTTAGTACATTATGGAAGGATTAATTACTCCAACCCGCTTTACCGGGAAACATTAAAAAGTTGAAAAGCCTGTCGTAACTCAAACGAAATGTTATACTTTATATCTGTGACGATTATTTTACGAAATGCAGCTAGAAAACATTAAGACAGACGTAACTACTTTTTTTACCGCTAACGACCGGTCCAGCCCGTATACGACACACGAAATAAGTCAGACATTAACAATTTATTGCCCTCAATTACAATCATCGCGAAAAAAGACACTCGCCGAAGGAATTCGGGACTTTGAATCGGGGCCGAAGTGAAAAAGGGTACCCTTAATTTTCACATGGCATCGGCGGTATTCGGCGACGGGCGGGACCTCGGCCCGCCGCTGGAGAATTCCAAAAATGAAAATGTCGGCCATAAACAACAGAACGATTTGAATGAAGCATAAGAATTAAAAAATAAAGAATCAAGTTAACAAATTTTGTGAGACATCCACGCTCGGCCCGGCTCTCCGCGGTGATCTGATAAGGCCCTGAGAAGGG